ATTCTCTAATGATGTGACCCCGTTAATCAAATGTATTATGATTCCGGTTAATATAATTCTAGTATGAATAATAAATATTTATCATGAAATAAGGAAATAAATAATAACTTTATTATTGCCTCTAGGGCATATTTCCTTCAGGAGAGACCCTCCGCCACCGCCGATCACCTGTCAATTCTAGGAATTGAACTCGGGCCGCTAGACTGCATAACTGCATGCCCAACCACTGAGCCAAGGCTCTCTTGTGGATGTGGAGGTAATTTTTACCTCTAGTGTTTTTGTACTGCCTTGACAGTTGATGAATAGATCGGATAGATCGGAAATTTTCTGGCAAAAAAATTATACATAGTGCTCGGACTAGCCTTAAAGAAGGCATGAAATTCTGGTTAGATGCCTTGTGATTGATCTGATCCGCTCCTGTGCACATATCCCATTTGATATAGGGAAACGTTTCACGCCGGTCGACCGGCTGAAACTCCGCCGGTCAAGTCCACGCTAGCAACAGGCCCACCCACCACCGCTTAAGCCTATCTCTATCATCCCACATGATTCACTCCACCATTTATTCCTTTCCTTATCCTCTCGCCCATCTTCTCCCCGTTGCTCCCCAAATAAACTCTTGCCGGTGATGACCGCCGTCGATGTCGCGAGCAGCCATCATCCACATGCCCCTGCTGCTCCGGCGAGCAGCCGCCATCCACTCACCCCCGCGCTACTCCGGCGAGCGGCCGCCATCCACCCGCCCCGCGCTACATCGGCGATCGGCCGCCCATCCATCAGTGCGGTTGTGCGGCAACCCAGCTTGCGGCGTGGGATTGGGCGCTTCAAACGGCGGCGACCATGCTACAACGACGACGAGCGGGAGTGGCAACCGGTGGCACGCGACGGCAGCGACCAAGGATGACCGCAGGCTGCCACCGGTGCTGCAAACCACAAGCAATTTTGCTGGAAGCTGTCGTCAGAGAAGCCGGAAGCGACAATGCGAGGAGCTACAACCAACATCGGCGGCGACTCCAACATGCTACAACCGGCAAATCATGAGCTACAACCGGCATTTATTCTTACTTGTACCGGCACCATGATTTGCTGGAACCAGTGTCTTTTTTTGCTAGAACCGGAAACAGTTTTTGCTATCATCTTTTTTGATTTGCTGGATCAGACCAAGTTTTGCTACTACCGTATTTTAATTTTGCTGGAAGTAGCCTGGTTTTTTGCTACAACCGTATTCTGGTTTTGCAACGGCGGCTATTTTTTGCGACCGGCGACGGCGACGGTGGCCATTTTTGCTACAACCGTGTCAAAGTTTTGCTACTACCGTCTGTGTTTTTGCTACATCCATTCATGAAGCTGTGGTGCTTTTTTACGACATTTTTGTTGCAACAACCTTGTTTTTTGCTACTACTGGAGACGTGTTTTGCTACATCCATTCACGAGGCCATGGTGCTTCAAGTGCGGCGGCGAGTTCCGGCGGCGTTTTTGCTACAACTGTCTGAATTTTTGCTACGTCCATTCACGGATTAGCTGCAACCGCGGCGAGTGTTGCATGTGTCAATGGCCGGCGGCGGCGGAGTTGCGACGGCTTCATCGCCCAGGTGCGGCCGACGGCGGAGGTGGCTAGCTGCCATCCGTGGCGAGGCTGGTGCGGCGAGGTGCAGGCTGCTGCGAGGTCAACGACCGGCGGGGGCGTCCCGCGGTGCGGTGCGGCGGGGAGCAGCTGCGGTGGGGAGATTTTTCTCGAAGGAATCTCACGCAGATCTGACAGCCCTGGCTGGCGCATCGGACGGCTGGTGCTGGACCGGCCCAACGGTTGGGCCGGCGCACCGGCGCAGATCAGCGCCCTTTGATATAATATAAAATGGCGAGTAGGGGTCTTCCTACTACTGTTTTTCGCTGTGGTGACCGATCAGCTATCAATACATCTCACCATGATATGTTCACTGGTGGTGGATGCACCGACCAGAGGTGATTAATGCCTGAAATACATCTGGCCATGATATCTACCAGCTGCATGCATACACGTTGTTTTCATCCCGAATTAGTATGGGCACATGGTAGACCATATGCATATGCATGCACCGACTTGAGATCGTGGTGGAAGATGACCGGGGGCCGGGTACGTGTGATGGACTGGATAGTGACATATGTGAAACAGAATTAATCAAAGATAGTGTCTTCTAAACCAAGGCCTTGTTGTAGACAGTGTCTTCTCCACGATAGATCATACACCACTGATTATATACAACATCATAATTAATGCAGCATGGGGTTAAGCAAAAAAAAATGGATTTTTGGCATTCTGGAGATATGTAGTACTTATCGTTAAGCAACTCTCATCGTTGACTGTATTAATGCGTCCATCGAACCATATGCCTGATGGCAGAGGGAACTTCTCTCTATAAATGGAGCCATCGGCATGTCCATGCAGCATACACCCAAGCACTAGCATCTCCCCACACTAGCTACTGGAAAAAATGTCGACCTTGTTCTCGCAAGAGCTGCTCATCTCCACATTCGCCATCATTATTGTTCCCCTCTACATGTTGTACCTCAGGTCTAGCAGATCAAAGAACCCATCAGTGCTCCCCATAAACTGGCCAATAGTGGGGGTGTTCCCTTACCTTATCGCCAACTTCCACAACCTGCACGACTACCTCGCCGTCGTCCTCGCCGGATCAGGCCACAACTTCAGGGCGTACGGCCCGCCTGGGACCGGGTTGCGGTTCTTCATCACATGCGAACCGGCCAACGTCCGGCACATCTTCACGACGAACCATGCAAACTTCCCCAAGGGCGCGGAGTTCGCAGCCATCTTTGACATCGCGGGTGGCAGCTTCTTCACCACCGAAGGCGAGCCCTGGCGTCGGCAACGCGCAAGAGCCCGGAGAGTCTTGAGCAACCCACGGTTGCTTGCCTGTATGACCGCTTGCTGCCGCGACAAGGTGGAGAACGGCCTCCTCCCGGTGCTCATGCACATGGCGAGCACCGGGACCACGTTCGACCTGCAAGATTTGACAACAAGGCTCGTGTTCGAAATGACTGCCACTCTCTTTGGCGTGGACCCGGGCCTCCTGTCCTCGAACATGCCGCCCATGGATGCCGCGGTCGCCATGAACACGGTCATGGAGGTGGCCTTGTTCCGGCACATCATGCTGACCTCTGGCTGGAAGGTGATGAGGTGGCTTTTTTTTAGAAAAGGAGGATGACCCCCGGCCTCTGCATCTGGGAGATGCATACGGCCACTTTATTGATTATTCTCGAGGACCGTACAAAGTGTTAAAACAATGTGTCTGAATCCACCATCTTGGCAACATATGCCGCTACTCCTATCCAAAATGATTAGGGGGTGCTAGCTGGGCCACTACCCAAACCACTCACCTAAGCCTAACATCAAAAGCCGGAAGCCGAAACTCATTCGGAAGCCCCAGCCGAGCCACATACCGGGTCTGGGGCACAATCCGGTCAGACGCACTCGTGTGTCGTCGCCGCCATCTTCCACAGGTCCGTCTTCAGATCATATTGAGGCTTCTACCTTGTCTGGCCACTCTGCCATCGACGTCACCATGACGCCAGACAGCTTCCTCCTCCTGCACGAGTCCATCTCCGCGCATCAGACGCCGAGTCTCCACAGCACCATGCCGCTGAGATCCGCCACCATCAATGTGAAAGATGAAGCACCGCTCCACCAAAGTTGCCGTCCTCTAGTCCCTCGAGCCGTGTGCACCTCCAAGAATGACGCCCCCAGGGGGGAAACGACACTAGAGAGCCGCCGTCATCCGATCTACTGATCTAGGGTTTCCCCCGGAGGTAGCAGAGAGTGGCCTTGAACTTCTCCATGACGATGCCTTCAGGAAGGGAACGATGCAGACAGCGTCGCCATCGCCGGCCTAGGCAATAGCCAATAGCAGGTTTTCACCCAGATCTGATCGAAGACCTCCATCTCTCGTACACGGATCGCCGTCCGAGAAAGCCGCCGACGAGCAGACGCCAGAGCAGTCCCGCCGCCGCTGCGCGCAGACCGGCCGACCACGTGGTTGCAGCCACGCCGTTGCAATCCACCTCTATGCAGAGCCCACGAGGACCTGCGCCGCCACCCCGCGATGCCCACTACCGCCAGGGACCAAATCCGCGCGGATCTAGCCGGAGGCGTGCCGGTCCGCCACCGCCCGATCTGACCCGCCGCAGCCGCCGCGCCGCGGCCGCCCACCAGGTCGCCGCCAAGGCAGGCCACCCCGACGGAGCGCCGCCGCGCCGCTAGCCCCCGCCGTAGGCTAGCGCCCCCGCTCGGGAAGCCGTCCCGCGCCAGCCATGACCATGGGCGGAGGGAAAAGGAAGGCCCCGCCGCCGCCCCGGCCGGCCTGGCTTCGCCCGGCGGCGCCACCGGGCGGCGGCGAGGGAGGTGGGCAGAGGAGGGAGGAGAGAGGCGGCGGCCGGGATGGGTTCCCCTCGGGGCGCCCACGGGAGTGCCGCCAGGAGAGGAACAGATCAAGCTCCAAATGCAAAGGAGCATAAGGTGATGAGGTGGCTAAACATCGGTCCGGAAAGGAAGCTCGCCGCAGCGCACACGGTTCTAGGTGGGTTCGTTGAGGAGATGATGGAGAGGAGGAAGAAGAAGGAACATGTTGCAAACGAGGGAGATCCTTCTTCCGTGGACATTCTGTCTTCCTACATTGTTGATCCAGACTACCAGCAGAACGATGGCTTGCTCCATGCGACGCTCATCAACTACATGATCGCGGGGAGGGACACAATCGGCACAACTTTGACATGGGTCTTCTACAACCTCACCCAAAACCCTCATGTCATGTCGGCCATCCGCAACGAACTATCACCTATTGCATCACGAAAAGCAGCCACAGGCGCTAACAACAGCAGCACCATGGTGATCTTTGAACCGGAGGAGACCAAATCTCTCGTCTACATGAGAGCCGCCATACACGAGTCTCACAGGTTGCACCCCCCCGGTCCCCATCGAGCGTAAGACAGCGGTCGCTGACGACGTGATGCCGAGTGGCCATGTGGTACACGCCGTTGACACCTTATTAATTTCTCTCCACTCCATGGGGAGAATGGAAGGCGTGTGGGGGAAAGACTGCCGGGAGTATAACCCGGATAGATGGCTCTCAGAGGATGGCAAGAAGCTGCGGTACGCACCGTCTCACAAATTTTTGGCATTCAGCTCGGGCCCGAGGCTGTGCCTTGGCAAGGACGTCTCATTCATGGAGATGAATACCATTGTTGCGGCAATGGTGTGGAACTTTGATGTGGAAGTGGTTGAAGGGCAGAGAGTCCAGCCGAAGATGTCTTGTGTGCTGCCGATGAAAAATGGACTCCTGGTGAAGTTGAAGAAGCGAGAAATGTAACCTTTGGTCTCTTTTTCTTATCTGCAATTGTATCTTGCGTGAGTCTTTTGGTGTTCCGGACCTCAGGGTATTTGTATGTGTACTGTTGTATGATTTATTTTTCTGTCAATATAATGTTATATGAATAAAAATAGAGTGAGGATTTGATGTCTACCAGGTGTGGCGCCCCTCGATTCATAAGCATTGGATCTGTATCGTGCGATGCGCTCCTCGTTCTGCAATAAGAGTATGCTAAGACAATGTGGTTATAGAAATGATCTAGTAGGACTGTACGAAATGGCATGAATATGGTACATCGATGGATAGAGGATAGGAGATGGAAAAAGTAGTGCTAGGCTGCAGCAATGAATAACATCATCATATGGAAAAAAAATCATTGGAGGAAAGAAAAACAAGAACAAGGAAAATTTTCATCACCGGAGAGAATAACCCGTACATGGATGCATGCGAGATCTTATTTCAAACACGTAAATGAAAACTAGTATTTTTTTAACTTAGGAAAACTGATATTGGTTTGCTATACTGTAGGAGGAGGAAGAAGACAAAACGTAAGAGGTATGCATCCTATCTACGACTACCAGCACGTATCATAGTTTTAAAAACTAGACCAAACCGGCGGTCCGACCGAAAAAACCATGGACCAGCGTCTTGCGTGGTTTTTCGTCTTGCCTGGTTTTTTAAGGTGTACCGGTCTTTAGTAAAAACCAGAAAGTATTTTAAAAGGTGCATCAACGAGGAATGAAACAGCTAACCTTCAGGCAAGGCATGCTAAAGGCCCAATAAGCAACTAGGCTAATAACAATTTGTAATTATTAATGATTTGCATCCAAAATTATGTGTATTCATTTGATGTGAGGTCAAAATTTTGAGAAACTACATTTAGTATTTTGATTTTTGGTCGCAAATGAACCGATGAACTGATGGCCCGACCAATAAAAATCTGAACCGACAACCTCACCAGTTCGATTTATTAAACTATGACACCTATCCGTCTGCTCTGCTAGCTGAGCAGTCTCAGTGTTCTGCCGACCAAAGCGCTAATGAGCACATAATGGCTAATCGTTAGATGGAGAATAAGAAATTGACGGTGGATCTTGCCATGGGCCAATGCCACCCACGGCGCCTGAATACCCGATGATTCCCTATGATTATGCATAAAATAAATAACTTGTTACGTACACAATGGCGGAATGACTCAACTTATCATATATAGAGGGAAATAACCGTGCCTTATTATTTTTATTATTTGTTTAAGATGCAAGCCTCTTGTAATAGTTAACAAAGGAACACAATCCATTGTGATATAGAATTATTAATCAATACATAATCATCAGACTGCGTAGTATTCCTGTCGGTCCTTACATTTGAAGACACGGCCCTGGAAAATGCTCCCTTCTTTTTTATTTACCACTATAGGAATCGACGAGTTTGTTGAGTGCACTTTATTGGGCACTCAGCAAACACACAACTTTACGGAGTGTGGTTGTAAAATACTCGGTAAAAATAGACACTCAGCATATTGAAAGTTTCCCGAGTGTTCTATTTTGGGGGAAAAAAACATGGCAAAAAAAAAACACTAGGCAAATATTTGGACACATGTCAATTTTAACCGTGCTTTACAGTGGACCGATAGTGTTATTGCCTTGTCGAGTGTAAAACACATGGTAAACAAGTAAAATCCAATAGCAGGCATGTATACATTTGGATTATTAAGAGCAAAGTTTTGAATTTTTATTTTATTTGCTACTTTTGTAATATTTGAGAGGATTTCGTAAAATAAATGATGTACATGACTTAGAAACCCAAGTATTCCCAAGAAAGAATCACAGTTTTGAAAGACAACGTCATAGCTTTTGAAAATGTGGTGATAGTTACTTCACCGTTTGACCTCAAAGTTGTTTCTACACGCAAGATACAACATTACATGGTCCATGTTAAAGTTTGGCATTATTTAGGGGTCAAATTCTATATTAAATAAGGAAATGGATTTATATTTATCTGATGGACATACATTTTACCTACAAGTACATGAAAAATGCTAAACAATTGGTAGAAAGATAATATTTAAGTTAATGAGTATATTTTTAGTATTATACACAGAGTGTTTTGACTCAAAAAAATGGCGGGAAAATTCATATAGTAAATTGGATATTTTTTAAATTTATAAAAATGCAAATGAAGTCTGAAAAAAATGAGAAGTTGCATGGCACCATGATATGACATATAGAGCCCGTGGTTCAAAACTGAGAAGGCTTCATAATTTTTTTATGTACATTTCATAGAAATTGAACATGTATGTGAAGAATAGTAGTTCTTGAAGGGAAAGTGTAAGGTTTGAAGGCAAAGCGACAGTTGATTCAACGTCAGACGTGGTAATTTTTTCTACTCAACATACACTATTACATCTTCAATGTCAAAATTTGGCATAGGTTTAATTTTCTATTTTAAGTCATTAAATGGATTTGTAGGTATTTAATGTATATAATTCAATTTAGAACTACAAATACAAGAAAAATGACCACAAATTGGTTGAAAAATCATATTCTAGTTGTTGAGTTTATTTCAAGTCTTATACAAGAAATATTTGCAATTCAAACATTTATGTGGGAAAATGAAAATTAACTTAGACCTTATTGCCTTATGAATTTAAAAATGTGAGTGAAGTCTGTAAAACATGAAAAATGGCCTGGTTTCAAAATATGATACCCATGGTATGTGTTTAAAATTTGGGAAGGTTTCACAAAAGTTGCGATCTACATTACCTATAAATCAAAGTATCTCTTAAGAATAATCGTAGCTTCAAAAGAGATGTTGTGTGGCTTAAAGGAAACAACAATCGCTTTAACGTTTGATCTTGATTTTTTTTCCTACACTAAACATGCACTACTAAATCTTTCTATGTCAAAATTTGGCAATTTTGAGGGTTCATAAGTCATATTTTAATTACAATTATATTGAATAATACCCTCAAATTGGTGAAAAACCATGTTTAAGTTACTGAGTATACTTTTAGTCTTAGACAAGGAAAAAAATACAAACATTTAGGTTGGAAAATTCAAACACTAAGAGGTTATTTGTTTTCTAATGTAAAATAAATGCAAATGAAGTCGGAAGAACATGTAAGTAGGCACGGTGTCATGATATGACATCTAGAGGTTATAGTTAAAATATTAGAAGGTTTAACTAAAATTTTTATGTACATTTTTTATAATATTAAAGCATTTTCAAAGAAGAATCATAGTTTTGAAAGGAAAAACATGAGGTTTGAAGATGAAACACAGTTACTTCATCGTTTGACCTTGATTTGTTTTTTACATGCAACATATATCATTACATTTTCCATGTCAAAGTTTGGCATGGTTCATTTTCCATTTTAAGAAATTAAATGGATTTCTGATCATTACATTTTCCATGTCAAAGTTTGTCAAAGTTTGGAGGCTCCAGCCTATTAAATCCCTTTAGACTCGCCGTTGTCACAAAGTGGTAGATATTCAATTATTTCATTATGCCGAAACAAATGCAAGGTATTGAAGCATCCTTTAAAACAGTATCATATTCAATATACTGGAGGGAAATAAAATCGAAGCGAGAGCGGCGTTTCGGTGCCCCGGGTGCATCTGCACCCGGTCAAAAAAAATTTTATAAAAAATTCAAATAAATTCAAAGAATTCCAAATTTTTTTTGGATGGTAGACAATTTGATGCGTGAGGTACGCTCCAATTTTCAAAACATTTGGACTTCTGTGCAGCTCTCAGCAAAAAAGACAAATCAGACCAGAACAGTATATGAACAGTACACAGTTTTACAGACCTCCGATTTGTCTTTTTTGCTGAGAGCTGCACAGAAGTCCAAATGTTTTGAAAATTGGAGCGTACCTCACGCATCAAATTGTCCACCACCCCATTTTTTTGGATTTTTTTGAATTTTTTTAGTATTTATTTTGATTTTTTTCGTGAGCGCGATGAGCTCGGGTTCAGATTCGAATTTTCCAAGCTAAGCTGCCTAGTATCTTTAAAGTATGTGTTCTTTATCTATACCTACTATTAAAGGGATAGATATTCTTGGCTTTGTCCCGCTATTGTTTTCACGCTTATGCCATTGTTTGATTTTTTCGGATCCTATTTTGTGAAGCTAGGAAACGAAGGCGACATATGTGCAGACGAAATAAAAAAATGTAGCCGGACTAGTGCCGACATACATGCAAACGGAACAGAAAGAGAATCGTAGCCGGACTGGTTAACTCATAATAAAGTCTTTTGATATAAAAAAGCTTATCCTTACCGCTGCCGTAGTAGGAGCGTGGCGTGACCTCTCACGATCTAGGCTATGTGCCTACACTTCCATAGTAGGATCGTAGCCAGACGTCACACGATGGAATCAAACTGATGGCTGACAAATCAAGAGATATGTCATATGTACTAATTAAGTGAAAGTATTCCAAGTTCTGATTTGACAAGGGAAAATGTGAGCATTAATAAACTGATATGTTCTTGTAGAACAACTAAAATGTTGTCATCCACCTCTCAATATCAAGATATTTTGTTTCTGTGGTTGTCGACGTGACGTTTCTGATTGCCTATTCCTTTCTAGATATGATTTAATTTTTAGAAAGAATTGCTTCACGCAAATAGAATATAAATATTTTTATGAGGGTTTTCATCTATTTGTACTACCCCCTAACAAATCCATTTCTAAAAATATCTATTTACACAATTCCTAATTACAACAAGCTTGTGCTTTTATTCTCATGTTTTTATGGTAATTAAGTATGATAACTGGTTGAACATTTCAAATGTATATGTAGACATGATTGATGTTGAACCCCTAAATATATATGCACCCGTTGCAGCGCATGTGCATTAGCAAGGTACAACTATTAGCGGACATTTTTGTTAGTGAATAATAGTATATGTTAGTGCTTACTAAAGATCATATTGGACAAAATATCTTATTGGTCATCACATATTTATAATAAACATTTTTACTTATTTATAGATAAG